GAATGATGTACAGTCTGTAAAACCAGCTTTTTTACATAAATTATAATATTTAGGTATACAAAATTTTAAATAATTATACATTTTTCATGAGAATTCCACAATGAATTCATCACTAGAAAATACGTACAAAATATGGTGCATATTAACACTTACGGAATGTCACGAATTTTTTATATTTATTTACAGTACTCGCAATTACACTTTTTAATAAAGTATCAATTAATTAATGTATAATGTTGCGATAAAGCCAATTCTAATATATGGCTGTAAGACCTGAACACTAACCAAAACCCTAGAAAAAAGTGTTGAAAGATTTGAGAGGAAAATCCGCCGAACGATAACCGGAGCGATCTGGTATTAGAGTACTAACACATGGAGAATAAATACCAATAGAGGAATGCTTACAGAAACTGGTCAATCAATATCCCATGGTATGAAGGCACGGAGGTTAAGATGGGCAGCCTTTGTAGCTCGTAGCAATCTGTCTGGAATCCTCTACGTAACAATGAATACCTCAATTGAAAGCAAATAACCAAGTGGAAGGCCTAATTGAAGATGGATAGATAGTATCAACAAAGATGCAATAGAGCTGCATGCAGATAAATGGAAAGAAATAGCAAAAGACAGGCAAAGATTAAGCTGGCAAAAGATCTACATGACCTGTACTGCCAACAAGAAAAAAAAAATATTATATTTGATAATGACAGTAAAGATTTGCTTTCATGTTTATTTTAAGTGTGATACTTGATAATGGCTGTGGCTGTACGTTCTTGAGATTGGTTTGCAGGGAATGTCTAAATAAATAAACACTTCAGAAACTTGGACAATGTTCTAATCACTTGTAAAAAAAAATCTTTACATTCTTCTTCGTTTCAAGCTTAAAATAAAAGTAGATCCAAATTTTAGCCTTGGTATGATTGGTCATAAAAAAATAAATAAATAAGTTCTCTGATAATGAACAATATAAAATCCAGTTTCCCTTCGTAAAAATGGCTTTGTAACACGCAAACCTTGAAGACTGATTTTCACCAGATAGTTCATTCATATAGAAACAGCCTATCGAGCACTGGATTTTAACAATTCATCATGTATGAATTATTTCTGAATTTATGGTGCCATTTGAAAGATGCAAGAATTTTATTTAGAGTCAATAAATTTATAGATGGAGCTTAATGAAATTATAGATACCTAAGTTAAGAGAAGAGAAATTTCTACAGGAGATTATGAAGGAATGGAGAAAAAACCTTTAAAAAAAACTTCTACTTTTTTTGAAAAGATTGTTCTCAGTTGGTTCAACATAAGATGCTGATTAATGTTTTCTTTTGATTAAAAAAAAAAACTCTACAGCACTTAAATCCAATTTCGAAAGCAGAATTTAAGTGTGAATAAAATTGTCGATGATAGTCTAGATAGATCTATTGATACTAAAAAGGTTTAACCCCTCTGTTAATATCAGATAAAGTTTTTCTAATACAATCAAAAGTAAAATATATTTATTTAAGTATCAGGAATATTTTAAAACGTGGTAAAAAGTTATGTCCTTTTATTGATTTATTGGAAACCAATGTTCTATGTATAAAATATTTTATATCGCTAACTAAGCAATTTCTATTTCTATTAACTGTTGCGTGCATAATTTGTATTATAAGTAAAATATATGTAATAAACATATTCTCATCAGTTATTAATATATAGTTTTTGATTCATATCTTATTTTTGATTCTGAAAACATTGTGTTAAGATATTAATATAAATATCATAGACAAACATAAATATGTAAAATAATATCTATGTAATTTAAAAAATAAATTTTTTTTTGTTTAAAATATAACTTTTAAATTCGTTATTACTTTTGTTATTTGTAATTTGTTTATTATGATATATTTATATTGAGACATTGTTAATGCCATAATTAAGTTAACAAGACTGCTACTAATAATTAAAGCCGCTGATATATATATATATATATATATATATATATATATATATATATATATATATATATTCGATTATACTGATAAATTAATTAATTTAATTATATTTCTTTAAGAGTATTTTTATTTGTTTTAAGCACCAATATATATACAAAGATTAATTCTTATTGTGCTGTAATCATTGCAATATAACATTAAATAATACAAACGCATTAATGTATATATATCGTTTATGTATATGTATATAATATAATCGGATCCCATATTATATTAAGCACGTGTTAAGTATTCTAACCTTTCGGTCGATCTCGGGTGCACTCCATTAGTGTTTCTCCATTAGTTGAATCATCAAATTCTATACTTAACTAATGGCCAATTAATTCAAATAAAAAAAATAAATATACTGAAAAAAAAAATGAATTTAACCAAATTCGTTAGGGACGTTTTCGAGAAAATCGTAAAAATCTGTTAAATCGATAGTATAAAGTGCTGATTCCGGTTAGCCGACGGTTGACGAGTTGCTGTAACATCTCGGGCACATAAAAATCGAATTTTATAATTTTTTATTTTAAGACTTTAACCACTAGGGTCATTATTGCCTCCTTTTCATTGAGAATTAGATTGGATTTTCAAGTTTAGAACATTTAAGAAAAGAAAAGAGTTTATCAATTTCATTCGTATTGTCCTGTAGAATGAAGTGTATATTGTTTGTCAAGTCACAAGAAAGTCTAAATGTTTTGTAAGCTCTACATTCATAAAAACCTTAAATATACAATTTCACTTTCATACGATTTTTTGTGCTAAAACGTCAACATACATTCTATAAACTAAGATTATATACACAGACACACACACACTCACACACACAAACACACACACCATTATGGACTCTGGGGACTTCAAAATACGTATTTCCATTGAATACTCGGGTTCAAACATTATCTCGGTCACAATACTTTCAATGAGGTAAGTGAAAGTAAAAGTTGCTGGGAATGTCGGTAAAACGATATTAATGTGTAACTTTGGTAATCAAACTTTCAAATTTAAACTTTTTTTCTCTCTCTAAGCCCAACGGCTCTGTCCACTCACCCACTGTGCGTAGCTTCAAATTTGACCTGAGCTGGATAAAAGTTATTGATTTCTAAATAATCTCGTACTTTCCTAATCAGGATATGTGAGATGACTTTGGGTAACTTCTATCCCCTTCCTGTATGACAGAGATGGGGGTAAAAAATAAGAAGGAAAAGGTTAGGAGTTGGAAATTATGTTAAGACGTCACCTTGGCAACATCGGGTCGAAGGACTCTGCACTAGGGCAAAGATGGAAAAGACATCAGAAGTAAAATTTTTAGAATTAAATACTGGTTGTTGTATTTGATAAGCCTCGGAATAAATAAGTATAATTATTTAGTGAAAAATAAAAGAATGTAAACAGATCGCTGTTTTTCATAGTTTTCTACAATGATCATAGATCTTTGTTTTCAACTTAATTTTTTTATTATTTCTGAATACTGTATGTTTGCTAAAATTAGAGGGTTTAAACTTTATAAATACCTCAGTTATAAGAAGGTGTGGGCTACTTAAATAAATATTTGCAGAAAGATTTCCAAAAATAGTTAAAGAAAGAAGAAAATTTCTTAATAAAAAATTATTAACATGGAATAAAGAAAAATTACTGTTTTCTACGGTTTATTATAGCTATTTTCTAAAGAATATATTTAATATTTATAATTTTGATATCTTAAGCATATTGTGTGTTGTATGGGAGTTGATAAGTAGATCTGAAGAAAACCAATGTTTATTTGAATTTGTTCATTTCATCTACCATTTCGTCATTTAACTAGATTTTTAGCGATGATAAGGATTTTTTAATTATCTGCAGATATTGGGGCGGGAATTCATCTTTGCATAGTTTTAACACAGTGAAGGCATGATTTGCCACCTTTTGGACATAGGAACATTTTTCCTCAGTATTATATTAACTATAAACATCTAAAGTCACCGAAATTTTATTTTCCAAAACCAGATATACATATCTTTTTTTTTTATTGATAGTTTATTGAATGATAATACAATCTGTCTCAGGAGGGGCATCAAGTATTAGTGCTGCAAGACTTCATTCATACAATATATACAAAAAACCAAAAAAAAAAAAAATATAAATAATACGAAAAATATACAAAAATAATAAAAGTGATCTTCTTATACACATTTATACCTATTATATACAATATCTACTGAGAGGGCACTGGAGCCACAGACGGTCAGAACTTGAATGGAGAAGCCGGATATTACGAGGACACCAAAAGTATATTTACAAAAGGTTCTCGGGGCCACTGCCGCTTTAATCTTCGAGGAGAATTATTGGGATGGTCGTAGCTGGATAAGGAGTTGAGCTAGAGGATTAGGATGATTAATAAGATTCAGGTAGAAGTTTTTCAATCTAGATGGAATAACGTCAAGGACATATGTAATGTTAAGAGTAGGCGGGGTGGCCGAATGGGCTAACGCGTTGTGCACAGCACCACCGTTGCCCGGCAACCTGATATATGATTATTGATACAAAAATATTCATGAGTTCGCATCCCGGTGTCAAGGCGTCTTTTCGCACCACTGCTAAATCAGTGAGTGGTGTTTTTGTAGGATGAGGGATGCGATTTCGGGGTATGAGTGGGAAGACATATATATATATATATATATATATATATATATATATATATATATATATATATATATATATATATATATCCATGCACCGTTTCGATTCCGATTTGGACGTGTTGAGATTTATTTCATAGCGGACCCATGGAATGAATCTTAAGCTTCTACCAAGAATAGTATGGTCACTGGTAAAAATATAAAAACATAAAAAATAGTTTGAATTATAGCATTAACTTTCAATTGTTTGTGTATTCTTTGTCATAAGTGGTGAAAGTAATTTTCAAAATAATGGCTCAATCTTTTATTTCGTTCAATAAACCGGAAGATGTGGAATACTACAAAAAACACCCTTGAGAAATAATATATAATGAACTTTATTTTAAATTCACTGAACAGGTGTTAATGAATGACATCTAAATCATATTGTTGATAAATAATAGGTAAAATGTCTTAAGGTTATAATGTTAGAATTTTTGTGTTGTTACTGAAAACCATCAAAATTTCTGTGATACGTGGTAAAACTCCTGATGTTATGTTGAGTGAAACAATAACATAAGAAAAATAAATTGCAGATTGATATTGGAAATGAATTTAACTATTCAATTCCCATCTCCTTTGCAGAGTGATGCTTCGAAGATTGGAAGATGGATTTAAACAATAGTATGTACAAATTAGACTAAATTTAGGTCATTACTAAGGAAATTACTTAAACTTATTTATCAAAACAGATCCGTATAATACAGAATAGAGAGGTATTTTGAATGATATATTCGAATTTATATCTAATAACATCTAAAGAATATTTTATTTAAAGCAATGATAAGATGCAATGAATTTATCGATAAACTAATGCTGATACTGTAAATAAAATACAATATGATTTGCTCCTACCTATTAACTATTTTTTTTATTAAAGCAAACAACGATAACGTCACTGATTAACAGTTTAATTGCTTATCGAACATTAGTATTCCTTTAACGATATGGAAGTAATAACAGACAAGTACTTGCCGTTGTTGAGATATGATTTCTTAATGTGTGTTTAAAAATAAAAGTTCCGTTGTTTTATAAGGCTTCCATCAGCATAAACATTTTAATGATATTGGGAATAGTAAATAAAAAACCGTTAAATACCTACGAAAATAACAGTACTCAGTATTTATTTCTTCCGAAACGATTGGTCTGAAAATCATAAACAACGCTCACGTTTGTGCCAATATAAATTTCAGCGTTTTAAGCTACGTTTTTGTTAACTCCAATCTCCTTCGAAAAATCATTCCATATTTAAGTTTTATGTAGAACGCATTTATTTATCGAATGATTTTTTATTTTTTTTAACCATAAAATTCATGTTATTAATCATTTTGCTGATATGAATACTTCTTCAATTTTGCAAAAGTATTATTGTTATTGCAAAAGTTTATTGCACTTTGCAAGACCAAGACCAAGACTACCTAACTGTTACAAGACCAAGACCAAGACCGCCAACTGTTACAAGACCAAGACCAAGACTGGTAAAAAAAAATCGATTTTTTGAATAACAATTGAGGCAAAATGGTTACTTATACTTGATATGTTTGGTTACTATACATAAAGAATTGATATATTGATATATAAGATTTCTTTTATCTTAAAAATTACATTAATATCTCTAAAGTAATAATTTAATTTGTTACTGTTTTGATACTTGCGCCAGACTAAGACTGAGTTCGCAAGACCAAGACTTGTCTTGGTCTCGCATTTGACCACACTAATTATAATATTAAAATGATAATACATATGCAATATTATAGGAAATTCATCGTTCATTGGTGACAAAAGTCGAATAATCTTCAGTTATATGAGACTAATTTAAATATGCATGTAAAAAAAATCTCGATTTCGTAAAAAAATCCCTTGGTTCAAGGTACTGCACTACAATGTTGGTATGTAATCTCTGCTTCAATTGTTGACAATTCTCCCCGAAACACCCTGAATATGTATGTGAATTTAAATCGTTCTAGAACTCATTCGCTGGTAAGTCATATTCGAAATTCCTTCATATTCCAGTTGTGGGTAGACTAAAGTATGTTATACCTCTTTAATGTTATTTGTCTAATACCTCAACCATTACAAAACTGTATTTTTGTTTTTATTAGCAATGATCAATTTCATTTTCTAATATAATGTTTAAATTATGAGGATTAATTTCAATGCTTTATATTATTATTTATTTATCTTACAAAATAGGTTTTAATCATTGTATTATTATGTATGATACTGATTACAATTTGTAGGTGTCGCTAAAGTTAAACAACATTATATACTTCAAAACAGTTTTGTGGACAATGTGCTCCAAGTATCATTTTTCATTAGAATCATTTTCCAGTTAACTAAAAACACTAATTAATAATTTTATATTTTAATAACGAAATTGTTAACTAAAAACAAGCATTTATGATTTGATTTTTAACGACATAGAAACAACATTTTTTGAGTACTGTTTGACATTTAAGAAACGTTTTACAGCATACAGGTGACATAATACTTTTAACAGTCGTTATAATTATATTTCAATGAATTAAGTATAAAAAAAAAAAACCTGTACCACTACAACCCATGAAGGGTCTGGGGTTCAGTACTATTTAGGGAAAGCACTGTTTCTAGGTCAACGGTTGTGCAAGGAGGTGATTTGACCGAGATCACGCTCAACCGCCAGGTTTTCCCCCTTAACCAATTACTTAATTAAGGGTACCCACTTTATAGAAGCTGGGTGTGCCCCAGGAGGGACTCCTGACCCAAGGTCGCCTCCACGGCCAATGAAACAGATAAATAAATTTTCTGCCATGAGCCGGGGTTCGAACTCGGGACCTTTGCATTGGAAGATCAGTGCCCTACCACTGAGCTACCCCGCTCCCTTGAATTAAGTATAAACAATAGAAAAAAGTCTATTCTTAAAAAAAATATCCGGAAGTGAAAATAAATTATCATGTAATGATAAGTTATACCGAAAAATATGTATTTAAATGATTTACAAATGATACAAATGATTTGTATATTTTAAGATATATAATACATTTTCTAGAAAATCATTCTGTTGATATAAAGCAAAATTTACTGATGCAACTACCATTTTACTCCCCTCCCCCTCGAATATAGAAAATCTTTGAACTTATTTGCCAAACTTACTTTTATTACGTAACTTTAAATTTCCTACGTCTTTAAAAGGTTGCATAATCAAAGCAATAGCTAACACGCATATATATATATATATATATATATATATATATATATATATATAACTAATTATTTTATATTAATATATATATATATATATATATATATATATATATATATTAAAGAAATAAAATAGTAGAAATATAGTATATTAAAATTAAAATAAACAAACAAATTTTTTGAAAATTAAATAAGGTAAAATAAACATATTAAACGAATATTAATACAGTATTTACAATCAGCCAGTGAAGTCACAAACTTCGTTTGTCTTTGGAAAAAGTTCGACTTCATGAAACCTCGCGGTTCTCTCACAACTCCACCATGGTGTTGTTTTTTTTTTGCGATATATAGAGGTTCATGCGTAGTATAAGGTTTATGCGTAGTATAAGGTTTATGCGTTAGGTTTTGGTGAAATTGGAAAATTTAAAAATGTATGTAAATCCGATGTTAAACTTGAAAAGTAATCCAACGTGCCATACATGACCAAAACCTTGTTCTATATTTAGAAATTCAGACGAGCTATACTGCATCATATCGAATTGTTGGCACTCGTCTAAAAATTGATTTTAAAGGGTTAATCGCTCCGAAAGGTGTTTTATGATTCAATTAATTAACTTTATGAAGTACTTAGAACTCGTGAATACCCATTCGCTTTTCACTTAAATCTTAAGATAATTTGATTCAAGTAAAACGATGTTCTACTAAAATATTGGGGCGTTTGGTCTATATAAACTCTTTATTTTCTCAGGTTGGAGATGGAAGCCACGTCAAACAGAGCAATACTTTTCTAGGCCAACTTTTTCTCTCGATTTGTTGATCAGATTACGTTACGAATCAAGTGGAAAGCTACCAGTAGCTCATTAAACTGTTCGCGAGTAACTCATTAAACGCCAACTTTATCTATTTATCTCCAGACTAAAAACGCGCCATTTAAGAGAATTTTCCTAAATAAAAACGTTGTATGTTATGATAGAGCGGAACCATTGAAGATGTTTTAGACTAGTGTTAATAATTTAATAGAAACGGATCTGTACCACGTAATTTGAATTAATTAACCAATTAAATTTGAAATAGCTCTCTGGACAACTCCTTAAACTGTTTTGATGAAAAATTTCAAGTTATTTTCTCATCAATTTCGTTTTATTTTTATTATGTTTTAAATTCAATAGCTGCTTTATTGCTGTTTACTTCAAAATACTTAAATAATTACTGAGATTATTCTTTATCATTATTTATTTATTTTTTGTATATAATTTGTTTTTATTTCTTAATGATATTTACAACTGTAATAAAGAAATACATTTAGTAAATTTGAACATATGGATATAATGACGTGAGGACACTTGTTGAGAAACTACCCAATGGTAGCACTCTAATGATATGTCTACATTACTCTGTTGCCCAAATGCGAGACCGAGACGAGTCTTGGTCTTGCAAACTCAGTCTCGGTCATGGTCTTGGTCTTGCGCAAGAGTCTCGAAACAGTCTTGCAGTTAATTATTAGCTTATTACTATAGAGATATCAATGTAATTTTTAAGAAAGAAGAAATCTAAGTCCGAATGAAAAATTAGAAGAGTTAAATGCAAAATTATATTGGTTATATCAATTCTATATATATATCAATTCTATATATATTCTATATAGATATATTCTATAATAAAAATTGAGGCAAAATGGTTACTTTTACTTGATATTTTTAGTTATTATATATATATATATATATATATATATATATATATATATATATATATATATATATATATATATATATATATATATATATATATATATATATATATATAATAACTAAAAATATCAAGTAAAAGTAACCATTTTGCCTCAATTTTTATTTAAAAAATCGATTTTTTTAATCAGTCTTGGTCTTGGTCTTGTAACAGTTGGCGGTCTTGGTCTTGGTCTTGTAACAGTTAGGTGGTCTTGGTCGTGGTCTTGTAAAGTGCAATATACTGTTGCAATAACAATAATACTTTTACAAAATTGAAGAAGTGTTCATATCAGCAAAATTATTAATAACATGAATTTTATGGTTAAAAAAAATAAAAAATAATTCGATAAATAAACGCGTTCTACATAAAACTTTAATATGGAATGATTTTTCGAAGGAGATTGGAGTTAACAGCTTAAAACGCTGAAATTTATATTGGCACAAACGTGAGCGTTGTTTATGATTTTCAGACCACTCGTTTCGGAAGAAATAAATACTGAGTACTGTTATTTTCGTAGGTATTTAACGGTTTTTTATTTACTATTCCCAATATCATTAAAATGTTTATGCTGATGGAAGCCTTAAAAAACAAAGGAACTTTTATTTTTAAACACACATTAAGAAATCATATATCAACAACGGCAAGTACTTGTCTGTTATTACTTCCATATCGTTAAAGGAATACTAATGTTCGATAAGCAATTAAACTGCTAATCAGTGACGTTATCGTTGTTTGCTTTAATAAAAAAAATAGTTAATAGGTAGTTAATATTAATGTAATTTTTTAGATAGGAGAAACCTAACTAAGCCCGAATGAAAAATTAGAGGAGCTAAATGAAAAAGTATATTGGTTATACCAATTATTAATATATATTGACTAAGATTCTATTCTAAGTATTAGTAACTAATTTGCCTTAATTTTTATTTAAAAATCGATTTTTTTTACCAGTCCTGGTCTTGGTCTTGCAACAATTAGGCGGCCTTTTGCACTTTGCAGGAACAAGACCGATTTAGCGCAACACTAATAACAGGTATAAGTTTATGCATTATATTCAAAGGTTTCGTCAAGTAATGTAACATAACTAAAATGATTTGCTTACGTTAAATACATTATAATCTCTTAGGTGAATATACAGGTATCTATTCTAAACATACATTAGAAATATTCAGTTTTAAAAATTAGCCACAATCAATCCCGTATTTATTAACGTCGTTAAGGATAATATGTTTTGTTTTAGCAAATCACCCAGAATGGACAAAAGAAAATCCGTTACTTGCTAAAGCTTCCATTGACCACTACCCATTTAGGTTGAGCGTTCGCGAACCGATTGGGATGGATTTTGTGCCTTGCATACACCGGGACCCAAAGAGCAGTGAAGATCCTACAGAAAAAGGAATCAAGTCAGATAGTAATTAAAAGTATCCGCAATTTCCATAGAATAATGTTATGTAATAACCAAAGCGCAACTGTTTCATATTTACTAATTTTATCATGGTTATGAGTTTTGTTTTAGTAAATAGTAAGTTTTCTGTTTTATATTCGATCTTAAGTGGGAAGTCAAATTTGTTTTATTGCCTATTTCATACACATACAAATTAATATTTTTATTGAATAAACACTTACTTGTTTATTAACATAAATATGATGGACACAATGGAAGATAACGTCTGTCATGGTCCATTCCTACAAAATATGTTTCATTCTATATCCTAAATAGATAGCTTATTAATTTACTCATTAATTGATTAATATTCTCACTAATTATATTGCAGCATTAATTAGAAATGCACATTAGATTAATTAATAATCTAAAATAAATATTAATAGTTCATGCTACAAAATTAAATAATAATATAACAACAATAAACAAATATTAAATAAAATATATAATATGATAAATAAATAAAGTGTTCTACGGTTCGGTCACATACTGGCTAGTTGAGCCCTTTGCAATGTAGCTTGCTTTATACGATATAATTATATAGGGCTTTCCAGTTTGTACCTTTTAGTAAATTAAATGTTTCTATAGAAGAACAAGTTTCCTACCAAAACATTTTTCTCTGATCTCGGTATACTTATGGCAGTTCTCTAAGAAATGGATAGTGTCCTGTTTTTCTCCAGAGTTGCCAACCGGACAGTTATGGTTGCTCTTATGTTCAGACGGCTTGACACTTAAATTGACTAATTCCGTTAATATTTTTTATTATAAATATAAGTAATACAGTTACCAATAGCTTCAAGCATTAAATCGTATTTAATCAAAATACATATGTAAACCTATAATTTATGAGACGCCGAGCGATAACCCATTAATAGCGGTCTCAATATCTTTATATGTATTTATGATTCAATACTTTCAGCCTTAGGAAGGTTAGTTTTGGAGATTTTATATAACCAGTGTGCTATTGAATTTCTGTCTCTTGGTGAGTTATTTTAATCATGAATGTAAAATACATTTTGTATATTATGAAAAAGTAAATATATTTTTCAATATATTATTCTATATAGGAAGGATAAACCTATTTTATTTTATTTTTTGCCCTTTTTTTTCTACTGTGAATACTTTATTTTTAAAAACCTCATTATATACTCAAGTTTTCGGGGCTTATTTGCCCCATGATCCTAGTATTTTCATATTTTAACAATACAAGGACTTCAAAGATGTTCATAAATAGAACAATTTTAATAAAAATAAAAAAAAAAAAAATATGGCGATTAAGGAACCTTAAATATGGCGATAAAGCAACCTTCATAAACGAAAAAGAAAAGTGAATATATTTATTTTTTACTTTCATGTTAAGTAAATACATAAATATTTACATTACTCTTTTTAAATAAATATATTAGTCTTTTATGATAAAATTTTAAATATGTACAAAATTAAATAAAACGTTCAACAGCTAACTACATTGTGCACCTAAAAAACAGTTTTTTCTCTATGGCACAGAGTTGGTAGAAATCAAGGTTTGAATTTTAGGTTTCTTCATTGTACCAACCACGAACAATAAAGTAAAGTTTAGCCTTACGTTCGTATTATGTTAAATTAAAAATTTGACTAAATTTATTGATCCCAGTATGAATTCATGGAAACGGATAAGAAAGTTCAATATCGAATTTAGTTCTAGAATAATTATTTATTTTGTACTTTTTTTTCACAACTTTGTATTTTTGAGATATTTATGGTCTGTAGATAATCTTCTAAAGGGCTTATAAGGCTGGCCTGGAGTTGTAGGATTTTCTCTACGTAGAGCCATCGACCTTGTTCGTGATCGAATTCCCAACGTCAGCAGAGGGTGGCTAAAGAAGGGTTACTTCTGTTATTTTTTTTTATCTTTACATTTATAACCATTTTTGTATTCATTTTGTTGTACATTATGGTTTTCTATGTATTACATATTGGTTTGAATTCATATGTAATACATTAATGTACATTTTTTCGCTCTAAACTTATTTTCGTTTCTAATCACAATTACAAAAATTGGCAAGTATTAAAATGTATTAGAATATTTTTAGAACCTTCCCTTGATTATTTTGATTTATCAACTATCAATAAAATTAAAATATGATCAAAATCGTGACATGTATGTCAATGAGGTAGGAGCGTGTACTATCATAGTTTTAATGAGGATAATTGGTAAAAGAAGAAACTTACCTCTTTGTTATTCATTGAGACTATGTAAATAAGAAATAATTTATTTACTGTTTTTTACACGTTCGGTATGATAGCTTATAATTGTACATGGGACAATTGTACCTATATTGCTTCGCAATATTATTTTAGCTATCAGAGAAAAAAATATTCAAGCTTATGAAAGAGATAATAAGTGATTATTTTTCGCCTAGAAGTTGTTCTGGAGGTTTCCAGTTTTATTAAATTTTATTATTTTCTAAATTTTATTACTGTATTTATTTAAGTATTTGTAGTGCAGATGAGTATACTTAATTAAGAATAAGGAAACGGCGAAAATTTAGATAAATAAAACTTAGGCGGGTAAAATTTAAATAACTAAAATGTACAAGTGGGTCTTTTGGAATAATTATGAACTTTATCCCAAACATCTACCACGAAAAACGGCGAAAAAATTATTGGATTTAATATTAACAGATATCTACTTTAAATAAAAGGAAATACTTTTTCTTATTATAAACATATTTTCGTTTTCTTCTTGGAATAATAAATTTAAACATAGAATGCATTCAATTCGATCTATATGGTCCAGCAGTTTCTAAGAGCCAGAGAAGTCATTAAAATTTTCAAACAATCAAACAATACATTGTTTAAAATTCATTTATTACTTTTACTTACCAATGTATGTAATTATTTTTTGTTATGAATAATATGTTAATGATAATTTAGAGAGAAGGATCGAAATTAAAATTAAACTATTATTATCATGAACTAATAACTTGGTTTTTATTTTTAGATTTATTTTACTAATTTTTTTTTTTTTTTTTACTATTTTTAATTTTTTTTCTCCAAGATGAAGAAAACAAATCCCTCCGTGAACCGTACGAAATCTATCAGATGTTTCAGTGTGATAAATTTGTTTTCTATCTCATCGGACACGAAACAGACGAAAACAGGCGTCACAATTCCGTCATTTATCATCCAATATAAGTGCGATATTCCATCAATCGGATTATTATGTCAGGAAATTGTTTGTGGTAGTTATATGGCTTTTGAAAATTCACCACCCAGGTCAGTGTTATTGATGTTTTATAAATATTGGTTGCATTATTTTTGTATTTGGAGATGAAGGTATTGCTTATCAATTAATTTCTTTGATAGGTAAGTTATTATTTAGTTCCATGGTGGGTTTTACATCCTCTATGAAGTCATTATTTTAAGTTTTAAGTACTGTTTACTCTAACCTGATTGTTTGTTGCAATTTAAGATGATGATTGCTTAATATTAATCATATTGAAGCTTAACTACAAAATTTTATATTTATATATGAGTTACCAAAGGCATTAACTATAAATGGTTAAGAATTAACTACATCGGTACATCGGTCTTGCATAATTTTTAAAATTTTCTAGCTAAGGTTTAGTATCGGATGTTAATTTTTTTTGTCTTAATCCTCTTGATCGACTTTTCGCCATGAGTCATCTAGCAGCATCTTGGGACTGTTGTAGGGACAGCGGTGATCGTTTGGTTTCCCTCTTCATGATTTCCATGGAGCACGTGTTTTACTAACCGGACGCCATCACAATTCATTCCCTTTTCATCAGGCACATTCCTGAAGGATGGTTGAGAATCTTATTCAGCAATCCCCACCCAGTTTTTTTTTTTTAAGGGATAGAGAATTATCCAGGGGTGTCCAGAAGGGAGTTTCATGGCGCAAGTTGTGCTATCAAAAATTTTGAGGGAGGCATATTTTGACGGGATTTTGAATATTTGATTGGGACAAAGACCAACTGGAAAAACATGGAACATACCGCAGCAAGTGTAATTGTATATGATCTACGATTTTTCTAGTTCCACCTTAGCTTGCTCTGTTTTTAAGAAAAGGTGACCAATAAAATATCTTGGGAGGAGTGGAGGATAGCTTCTTGGGGGGAGATGGGCACCCCTGGATATATCCAACCTCCAGTCTGAAGGACCAGCTTGGATGTTTAATATAAATATCCACTCAATTAATCCGAAGGAAATCCTTTTCAGAACTAATCGAAATTAAAAATGGAGCTATAATTCATATCTCTGTATTATTCAATTATTATGTAATTGATATGTTTTTATCTGAACATTATCTTCTTAGGCAGATCACGTAACTCTTGAATATGATAGTGAATTTATTTGCGTTTTTTTTTTTTTTTAAAAAAGAAAAAACATTTTCTATATTTGTATACATGTTGTTTTTTTGTTACGAAAAAAATTGATTTTTAGTTTAGCTCTAGCAGTTACATCTCTGTAGGCACCGAAAAGAAGTATGTTCCCAATCCTTTGTGATCATGAAAACGAAACTGACAATGCATATTTGATGTACTTACGTTCTGTAATTATTCCTTATTTGTTTTTGATGTTGCAATTTTTATTGAACTTATTTCATATTTGTTTTATGAAATGAAGAAGACATGTTTCATACATTTTATTTTGAAAATATGAGTCTTAATCATGATCGATAAGCAATCTGAGACTGTCATGTATAACAGCCAAAGACATAATGATGTTTATTTTCAATATCTCAATATACCAACTAGTACTCAAAGATTTCTACACAAGTATATATAATGATTAAAATATTTATTATTTATTTGGTTGATATTACAAAACCTTCATAATGAAATCTTATTAATTTTTATAAATATAACAAAATATGTTTGAGATTATCACAAGATTTATAGGAATTTAATTATGAGAGTATCAAAATAAACTATGCAAAAAAAAAACGTAAGTAGATTTTTTTT